GAATCCGAACGGTTCCATTTCTTAAATACCCGAAATTTTTGGGTCGGTTCGGTTCTCTTCAGAACCGAACCGAACCAACTCACGGACAGCCCTAATTATATTAGCTAAGCATGAGAATGAATGTATTGAAACCATTTTGAAATAATTGTCCTTAATCTTTGAGACAAAGGGCATGTGTTTAACAAATTGTATATTTTGTGTTAAAAAATATCATTCTAATCTTTTTACTCTGTCACAAGAGTTTTATACTATAAAGATTCTAGAATGTTTATAACTGTAGAATTGCTACCATGATGATACTCTTAAATCGGAAGGTGGATGTGAGTCTTCATATATGCTCAAGGACTCCATAAGTGCATAAAGAAATATCCAGAGAATTATATCTAGTACGATTAGCAATAAAAGTATGCGATGATATATACTTGTCCCAACATTTATTATGCCATGGATTTAGTCAGTAGGTATCGACATTATCCCTAGAAAGGATATTGTGATACCTGAAGGGTATTGTAGTCGGTTATTCTATTTTATTGTTGAGGGAATAACTTGTTATTAGAATAGATATGCAAATGTCAACTAAAATGAGAGTTAGTCGAGCACAGATAGTCATAGACTTGTGCACTATTAGTATATATCTTCGCAGTTGAAAAAATTATTTGGTATAGATGTATTGGACATCTAATGATACTAGTTGAAAATGTGAGATCCATGATAATTATACAATTATCTCATGTGTTGAAGATCTCAAGTATCACGATTCAACCAAACACATGGTGGTATTTTTGTAAGAGATATTTGCAAAGAAAGTGTCTTTGCGATATATCTATATAAATGATGATATGTAATCATCATAATCTGAAAATTTTTAGAGATATATAATACTTGTTGGTAATGTCAAATCTCTAGAATTGCTTAGAATTTGGTACTTAGTGTATCAGAAAACTTTTGATTGAGTTTTGTGTGCTCATAGATGAACAATTTTGATTTAATGTGTAATCTATCATTAGGATTACTAGAAAATGATTTGTATGCACATATAAAGTATGTCGAACATGTTGAGATTGGTTTTCTCACATGAATAATCTCCTCAGACACTTTGGGGTGTGTTGAGATGAGACAAAGTGATTATGTTGTATACATAATCCGATCACCTTGATAAGATATCAAAATGAGATTACAAGTAATCGAAATTGATTTTTCTATCCATTAAACCTGTTTACTAGCTAGATCAAATTCTTGATTTAAGATTGCTTTGAAGAATGAAAATAAGGAGAACTCAAATTGGGTATCGAGGAATACTTGAACTAGGATCTGCATGATGTTATTTATTTATAAAGAATATGACGTATACCCTAAGAAAGGCAGAAGATATCATAGCACGTGTTTCATACCACGTGTACCTTTACAATCAATATTGGGTAAATGAGTGAATAGATCCTCGCTCCTCATTATTTGAGACTTTGAGGTTTATGTAGCTTCATATATAGTCTTATCAACATGCATAGATAAGTCTTATCTAGTTTAGATAGTATTTTATCTAATTACTATTTTTTTTTAAAAACAAATTAGCAATAAAAGCTATCTACACAAAAGTTTTTACCCAATTTCACATGGTGATTTTTTTAATATTACACGTCTCAGCACCTAAACTCTCAATTCTGCACTCAATTAGAATACTTTGTGTCTTGCACTAAATTTTGAAAACCTCCTATATCTATCGTTTACTTGAATATTATGACGGAATTTGCTTGTATGTCTTGTAACATAATAATTTTTTTTCCTCCATTAAAATTTAGTTGGACACAATTTGTGTAGAAAAATTAATCTATAAGTAAGTGTTTGAATGCATATTCCATTGTATTTCTTAGCATCTCATTATACACGTCAATTGTTAAAAGTAATGCTTTATAGTATAATTTTAATTGCATATTAAATTAAAGTAAACATTATCCTATGATTATGTGATGGAACTAATGATGTAAATTATTATCTTTTTAAGAAAAAAAACACGTGATTATTTTTATGGTATTGATATAGATAATTTGTTATTGTCGTATCAAAACGTGATTAAATATATTTTTTTCAAGTTCGTTTATAAACTTGAAATTGATCATGTTGTTGCTCCTGAAGAAGTACAACTCTTCAAATAATAAATATTCTACTATAAAATGTCCTCTTAAAGAGTTAATATTTTTAAATAATAGTTTGTTTGTATTCTTGAAGTAGCACAACATTGTTGATATTCTAAGAGAATATTAATTGTTCCACAAGAGCGTGATATTACAATTTCAATATTTCAGAAAAACATTGATCGATTTTAGGGTAAAGACATGAATTATAATTTTCAATATTTTAGAAGAGTATTAATATATTGATATTGAACAAGAAAACATATGACTCCTAAAGTGCTAATGTTTCAAAATAATAGTTCGTTGTTGTCCTTGAAGTTCTACAACATTATAGTTAATATTCCAAAAGAATATTACTTGCTCCTAAAGAGTATAAATTACAATTTTCAATATTTCAGAGAAATATTGATATATTACTCTTGAAAAAGTAATATTAAAATATAATGTACTCTCGAAGTAGCATAATGTACTTTCGAAGTAGCATATTACAAGTCCTATTAATATTCTTGTTAGATTTTACTTGTTCTCGAAGAACA